TTTTCTTTTCTTTTTTCTTTTCTTTTCTTTTCTTTTTTTTCTTTTTTTCTTTTCTTCTTTTCTTCTTTTCCTTTCTTTTTTTCTTTTCTTCTTTTCTTTTCTTTTCTTTTTTTCTTTTCTTCTTTTCTTTTCTTCTTTTCTTTTCTTTTTTTCTTTTCTTCTTTTTTCTCTTTTTTTCTTTTCTTTTCTTTTCTTCTCTTTTCCTCTTCTCTTTTCTTTTCTTTTTTTCTTTTCTCTTTTCTTTTCTTTTCTTTTCTTTTCTTTTCTTTTCTTTTCTTTTCTTTTCTTTTCTTTTCTTTTCTTTTCTTCTTTTTTCTTTTCTTTTCTTTTCTTTTCTTCTTTTCTTTTCTTTTCTTTTCTTTTCTTTTCTTTTTTCTTTTCTTCTTTTCTTTTCTATTCTATTCTAAATTCTATCCTATTCTATTTATTTTCTATTCTATTTATTTTCTATTCTATTCATTTTCTATCCTATCCTATCCTATCCTATCCTACTCTACTCATTCTAATTCTATTTCTATTCTAGTTTGTCCCTGCTCCAGAAATACAGGTAGTCCTGTATTTGTTTAGCGACTGTTGGAAGTTACAATGGCAGTGAAAAAAAAGGCATTCAGGAATGGTTTTCACACTTATGACTGTGCCGGTGTCCCCGGGGTCACGTGATCAACATTCAAGCCCTTGGTGACTGACTCGTATTTATGCCGGTCGTGGCACCCCAGGGTCACATGATACCCTTTTGCGACCTTCTGAATTAGCAGAGTTGGCGGGGGGGGGGGGGGGGGGGGAACCAGATTCGCTTAACAACTGTGTTACTAGCTTAACCACAGCAGCGATTCGCTTCACGGCGATGGCAAGAAAGGTTGTAAAAGGGGGCCAAGCCCACTTCCCAAATGGTCTCGCTTAGCAGCAGGAACGTTGGCCTTGGCGGCGGTTGTTAAGTCGAGGACTGCCCCTAATCACGCCTGTAACGATGCACCTACCTCTTTCCTCATTGATTCGGACAATTTCGGATCGAGGTTCCGGCGGGCTGGCAGGTTCCCGTCGCCTTTGGTTTCTGGGCTGCATGCAAAAATCCCAAAATTCAGAAGGAGGAGCCGTTAGAGCAAAACCCAGCCGCACACACACAACACACACACACACACCCACACACACACAGAGCTCTCCACCCCTGGAAAAGTTGGGGCTGTCTCCTCCCTCTCTGCCACAGGGAGCGCAGAGGTCCGAGGGAGTCCATCCGCCCCCTCTCCCCCAAGCCGAGAAGCGCCCCTTACACCTTACCCGTTCTGCCCTATCCTGTGCAAGTATTTGTACAGCTCTTCTGCGGAGGGCACAGGTCTCCCCTTGGCCTGGTACTGTTTGAGAAGGAGGGAGACGGCTGCCACGTGGCTGGGAGACAGGATGCCTTCTTCGTGGGCTGGGGGAGAGAAGAGGGGGAGAGAGGGGGAGGACAGAGGAGAGGGAGAAGAGAGATGGGGAGATGGGAGAGGAGACAGAGTAGAAAAGGAGAGACAGGAAGAGAGGGGGAGAAGAGAGGAGAGAGGAGAAGAAGGGGAGAGAGGGAGAGGGGAAAGGGGAAGAGGGGAGACGGAAGGGGAGGGAGAGGAGAGAGGGAGAGAAGAGGAAGTGAGAGGAGAGAGGAAGGGAAGAGGGGAGGAGAGGGGAAGGACAGGGAGGGAGGGAGCGGAAGAGGAAAAGGGCGGGGAGAGGGAGGGAAGGAGGAGGAGGAGGAGGAGGAGGAGGAGGAGGAGGAGGAAAAAGAAAAGAGAAAAAATAAGTCCAGGGCTCCAAGCGTGGCCAACTGGACCCACACTCAAGGAATGACCACGTACCAACGTTCTGTTTGGAGGGGCTCACTGGCTCCAGGCTTAAGCAGACCGGTCCAGATTTGGGCAGGGGGACTTTGGTTTTGTGGACGGCGGCGCTGCTGGGTGGCTGGATGCGAATCGTGCTGAAAGAGGACTGCGCCGGATCCCAGAGGGCTGTGGACCGTTCGTGATAAAGCTGAGAGTTACCTGGGGAAAGAGCCAGGAAATCTTCAGGTGGGGAGGAGCAGAGGCCTCAAGGCCATCAAGAATTGGAGCAGAGATCAGCTGCTCCCAGAATTCCCCAGCCAGGAAGGTTTCCCAGAATTCAGCATGGACAGGACAAGGACAGATATATCTTCTCCTTTTAACTGGGAAACTTTATTAGTCAATAGTGGGAATGCGGGAGGTGTGATAGATTAATAAACAAGTTAGAGGGTGGGACAATTAAATGGGAAACCGAGGTGCTGGCTGGGGAATTCTAGGAGTTGAAAATCCACAGGTCTTAAAAGTTGCCAAGGTTGGACATCCCTGCGTCACTTTTCACACGGTCTGTTCTCCAAATTCAGGCAGTTCTTTACCTTGCCAAGAATTCCGATCCATTGGCACCCGGTTCCTAATTATGTAATCTTTATCCATTTAAAATAGAAGTAGCCCTCAACTTACCACCGCTCGTTTAATGACCATTCAAATGGCACTGAAAAATGTGACTTATGCATTTGGAAGAGATTTCTTCTCAGGTGGGGAGGGGGAGTAGGACTCCTTAGCATCAGAGCGTGTTAATAATAATAATAATAATATAGGAAATACTCTAAATGCTCTGAGGGTCATTTCGAAAAATCCTTTCTTAGGGAGCCCCTAGAAGCCAAGAGGAACAGATGTGCCAAATTTCAAGTTTGTAGGCTTGACGGTTCTGGAGATTTTGTGATGATGTGTGAGGGGTATTTTGCTTTTATATATATGTAGATATAAGCAAAGATTGGGAGAATGATCAGAAGCCGCTCGGGAAAGAATGGTCTTGGAAAAGTGGAGGAGGTAGGCTGGGCCAGGGGCTTACCGGCCTGTGTCCGATTCATGGTACGGGGTGGGCTGTCTGTGGCACACGTCTCCTGCTGCGTTGCGCTTCCTTCGAAGTCTGAGTGGCTCAGAAGCTGGCGGGGTGGAGATCGCAGGTGGAAAAGAGTTACACATGAAAGGCCTCCGTTTCCCACACCCCAATCCAGGTCTATTATCAGTACCAAGAAAAAAAAACCCAACATGGTTAATAAGGAAAATAAACATTTGGGGGGGGGGAGAAAGGTGGGAGATTTTAGGGAGAAAAGAGAGCCTTTTTAGCTTTGAAAACTTGCTTTAATAAGAAAGTTCAACCACTGTAAAGCCACTCTTACATTATCACTATTTCTCAGCCTTGGCGACTTTAAGACTTGTATCCTAACTGGGGAATTCTGGGAGTTGAAGTCCACTTATCTCACAAGTCATTCTGGGATTTGGAGTCCACGTAGCTTATAGTTGCCAAGGTTGAGAAACATTGATCTACAACTCAGCTAGACATCCAACTAGCTGACCTTTCATACCCCCACACACACAGACAGACAGACAGAAACACACACGTGCATATCTTTTCCCGCAGGCTACAAAATGGCTCCTTACCAGGCGCATATAGTAGTTTAAGTCCGGCTGCAGTCCCTGCGCCCCACCCTCGCCAGTGCTGGGCTGAGTGACCTCGCTGTCATTCCCTGCCAGCTCCGGGCTGGAGTCATCCCTCTCATCCGCAAAGGGGTGTTCGGCCAGGTTTTCTGGGTGGAAATTCAAACCTGATAAAAGGAAAATGGAAAGGAAGGAAGGAAAAAAGGGGGGGAAAGGGAAGACTCAGATCTCAATCTTGGTTCAGACACAAAATCCGTCCATCTATCATCTCTCTCTATCATCCATCCATCATCTGTCTGTTCTATCTATCTATCTATCTATCTATCTATCTATCTATCTATCTATCTATCATCTATCTACAGTATCTATCTATCATCTATCTATCTATCTATCTATCTATCTATCATCCATCGATCTATCATCTATCTATCGATCTATCTATCATCTGTCTTATCTATCTATCTATCATCTATCGATCTATCTATCATCTATCAATCTATCGATCTATCTATCATCTATCGATCTATCTATCTATCATCTCTTATCTATCTATCTATCTATCATCTATCGATCTATCTATCTACTTACCTACGTACCTATTCTTCCTTTCTTTCTCCATCCCTATCCATTTATCATTCATTTATCCATCATTCATATATCATCTCTATCATCCCTCCCTCCCTTATCTTGTCTTTATTATTTTTACAAAAACAGCAAAAATACCTAATATTCCTTCCTCCTTTTCCTATTTTCCCCACCACGAGAGAGTGAGGGAGAGGGAGAAGAAGAGAGAGGGAGGGAGACAGAGAGACAGAGGGGAGGAGAGAGGTAGAGGGGGGTGAGAAAGGGAGGGAGGGAAAGAGAGACAAAGACAGAGAGAGAGAGAGGAAGGGAGGGAACGAGGGAGAAAGAGAGATTGGTCCAAAGCCACCCATCCAGCTTTCACACCCCAGGCAGGACTAGAAGTCAGAGCCTCCACGTGCAGAGACCCTTGAAGGACGGCCTCCGTACGGCACACACACCTGATCCGGCAATGGTGGTGTCCACCTGGGGGTCCAGCTGCTGGAAGCCCTGTTGGCTGAGGAGGCTGGAGTTGAGAATGTGGCTGAATTCGGAGGAGAGGCGCCCTACGTCCGGCACCAGGGGCAGAAAAGGCCGGGAAGACTCCCGCAGGCGTTTTTCGGGTCCTTCCGAGCCCCCCTGCAATTTGGCCTGCTGATGGAGGACAGGCTGCAGCGGCCCCACCTTGGCCCACGCCAGCTCCTTGCAGTCGCCCATGGCAGCATTGCTGCAGAGAGTCTCCCCCTTCGGGGTCTTCTTGGGCGGGTCGGAGGGCCCCAGGAATCCTGACTCGGAGTTGGGGTCTGCTTCAGCCTCCTACAAGGTCAAGGCAGGGGAAAAGGAAATTCTGTTTAAAGCCATAGGCGTCCAACCTTGAGCACTTTTAAGTTAAAAGACTTGTGGACTTCAACTCCCAAAACTCCCTAGCCGGCTCTTCTTTTCCACTTTGCTGAAATCAAGATATATTACATCGACCGCATACCTGCTATGTCAGGATTCCAGCCATCGCCCTAATGAAATCGTGATTCTCGAGCCAAACTTCAAAAAACTTCAGAAGGATTTATTAGAGGATTTATACTGGCATTACCCTGTGTGAAGCCAACTCTGGCCTAGGTCATTTCCAGTCCCCTGTGAGCCTGTTTTCCCCACCTCCCTGCTGGGTGTCTCATAAATCAGATTCTCCAATTGAGCACGTTCGCTGGCTGGGTGTCACCAATCACATTCTCCAATTAAATCTATTCGTGGACAAAAGCTCTGGTAGTTTAGTTACAATCTTTTATAGATAAGAGTTGGAATTTAATTTCTATCAACTAAAAAATACTTCTTTGGTCTTTTTAGTTGCCAGCAGAAAGGGAGTGGGGGAAAGCAGTGCATTCCTTAAATGCTGCAGATAATCGCTTTGGCAGCTGAAGCTTTTGGCACTCAAGATTATTACTGGAGAGCGTGATTGATGACTCTTGGCTATGGATGTGTCTCATTGGAGAATATACATCCAAGGAGTGGGAGGAAGACCAGGGTCAAGGGTGAAGTGAATGATGTGTCAGAGTCGGCTGCAACCGGGAAACACCGACATGTCAACTCCTAATAAATCAATCTTTTTCACTCTGAGAGATGCGGCTAGAGACTTATGATTTGAACAGGGGGTGTGTGCATGTCGGAGTGCTGACACTTTCGCTTTCAAACTGCTGCACTGCTCTTCCAGATTTCCTTCCTCCCCCGATCTCCTTTTCTTTTTTATGGCAACTACTAAAACAGGCATAGGAATGTTTTATGAGTCGACACGCTATCTATTAAAAGATTGTAGCTAAGCGACCGGATCTTCTGGGCCCGAAAATCCTTTGTTGGGGAACATGATTGATGACACCCGACCTGTGAACAGTGCTTCATTGGAGAGTCTGATTTATGACACACCCAGAGGGGAGGGGGGGGGAAACAGGGTCACAGGTTATTTGTGAATTTCGTATGCCAGAGTGGGCTTCATTTAGGTTAATGCCGGCCTGTTGCTCCTAATAAATCTTTTGAGGGTTTTTTTTTTAAGCATGGCCCGAGGCTCATGGTTTAATGAGGGCGCTCGCCGGAACCCTGACATCCTGACTGGCTGGAGAATTCTGGGAATTAAAGTCCACCAGTGGCCACGGTTGGGGTCTAGGAAAAGAGTCTTCTCTGCTGTTGCCCCCAACCTGTGGAATATTATCCCACTCCCCCTGGAGGGGAGGCATCTGAATTTGGATCACGTGACCATGGAAATGCGGCAATGGTCGTAAGTGTGAAAAACGGGCCATAAGTCACTTTTTTAAGTTCCAATGTTCACTAAACAAACCGTTATATATCAAGGACTACCTGTATTCCCGGAGGCAGATCCGTCAGCCCCTGAATTCAACGGTCATAAGTGTGAAAAACAGCCATAAGTCACTTTTTCCAGTAGAGTTTCACGCTACTTTTCACCCTTACGACTGTTGGATCCGGGAGCTATTGGATCTGCCTCGGGAATACAGTAGTCCTTGACTTACAACACTTTTGTTTAGTGACCGTTCAAACTTACAACAGTCACTAAACAAACTGTCGCAAGCCAGGGATTACCTGCATTCCCCGAGGCAGATCCGTCAGCCCCTGGATCCAACAGTCGTAAAGTGGGGAGTGGGGGAAACAACCATAACTCATTTTTTTTCTGTGCTATTGTTAAGTTCGAACAGTCACTAAGCGACCCGTTGTAAGCCGAGGACTACCTCTGAGACGTTTACGGGGAACTCAAGATTGAAACGCTTCGCTTCTTTCAAAATGTAACGGGCCTCAACTTGCCAATGAACTGGGGGAAGAGAAAGAGAAAATGGAATGCAGGGATTGTGACAGCCTGGAAACCATCAAGGTCCCCGCTGAAGGTGCTGGTGAGAGAGACGGACTGTTCCCATTAGAAAGGGACGGTCTCATAATTACACCGTTTCCCCGAAAATACGACCTATTCTGAAAGTAAGTCCTAGCTTGATTTTTACACGTGCGTCCAATATAAGCCCTACCCCGCCCCCCAAAAATAAGCCCTAATTAAGATCACGCCCATTCCAGAGTGGACGGGTAAAAATTAAGCTAGGATAGGGATGGGGCAGTGGAGCTGCCCTACTACTTACCTTTGGACAGGTGTAGCCAGGCCTCACGCACCCCGACACCTGCCTTGCACAGCCCATTTCTTCTGCAGCCGACAAGGCTGGCAAGACTTTCCTGAAGGCCTCTGGAGCTGATAACAAAGCTCTGGATCGATCCAGAGCTCCATTATTGGCTGCAGAGGCCTTCAGGGAAGCCTTGACGGTCACAGAAGAAGTTCCTGAAGGCCTCTGACAGCGAAAAGGAGGCTGGGGTCAACGTGTGCAAGTGAGGTCAGTGGAGAACTTCCCCCCCAAAAATAGGAAACTAGTGATTTTTTTGGTGGCAAAAAAATATAAGACATGTAAGGGTCTTGTTTTTGGGGAAACATGGTATAATGTGATCACGCAGGGGTGGGGAGAAAGGGAAGCTATTATTTAACTAGTAATCCCCAAAGGTGCTTTTTTTCAAGAGGCAACTGGACTTTCTGGGGTTTTTTTTCTTTGAAGACGTTTCGCTTCTCATCTGAGAAGCTTCTTCAGCTCTGACTGGATGGCGGGAATGAAAGGATTGATCCTCCTTGCAGGCAGCTGGTCCTTTGCATCCGTTTAGAGAATCCTTGAGGCCACTTGGAGGTTTGTCTGTGTCCTCGGGGTCACCTGAGTGGTTCCAATGGGTGTGTGGAGCGCTCTTGGAACTGCTGAAACAACCGCGTTGTAGATTGGAGACAGGTGATGCCCTGTCTGTTCAGTTTGGACACCAATGGCCTCTTTGGCAACTTTCAAACCAGCGGTCTTCTCTATCCAAAATGTGGACTTGGCTGTCTTCATAAGGAAGTCATCGCGCGGGAAAACCAGGGCTGGTTTCGTTTCTTCGATACCAATATGGTGTAGCCCAGGGGTCCCCAAACTGTGGGACATGGCACACTACTGGGACATGGCCCAAATACCACAGTGTCATGTGAGTGTGACTGTCTGGTGCACATATACTCCGTCTCACCTGCATAAGCCTTGTCCCCGGCGCCCGAGGCCCCACTTGCGTTGGCCTCGTTGTGGGCGCTTGCAGCTCCGCTCCCGTGAGCCTCATCACAGGAGCTCCCAACCCGACTCCTGCAAGCCTCGTCTCACAGGAGTTCACGGCCACACTCACACGGGCCTCATTGCAGGAACTGGGGCATGACTCACGCAAGCCTCATCACGGGGAATCCGTGTCCCGCTTCCCACGAGCCTCATCGCAGGAACTCACCTCCCGTCTCACCGCGGGAACCCGCAGGCCGACTCACACAAGCATCGTCGCAAGAGCTTGCGGCCCCACTCGCACGAACGTCGCCATGAACGTAGCAGTGGTGCGCGCTTGTTGCCCCTCTCACAAAATCACCCCCTCTTTCTCCCCTACCCCTACTCCGGGCCCCCAATCCAGAAAGGTTGGGGACCTTGGTGTAGCCCGATAAAGATTTACTTTTGGGGAGTCAAAGCTCCCGGAAGTGTTTCTTTCTTTGATTTGGGTTCACCAGTTGGGACAATTGACAGGGATCAAGATGGCGACTGACCTGGCACGGGGCTTTGGGTGAAGGCTGGAGGGAAGGGCCGCCGGTGGCGAAGAGCCGGAGGGCCTCGTTCCAGTGGGACTGCATCATGGCCTGGAACTGGCTGACCATCTCGGCCCGCTGAGCCTCCAGGCGCCGGTACCTGGCCTTGAACTCTCGCAAGTCGTCGCGCTGCTTGGAGAGCCTGAAAGGCAAAAAAAAAAAAAGGGACGAGGAAAAAAAAAACAACCGGTCAGAAACACTGAAGACAACGGGCAGCGGCCCTGTTTTGTCTTTTTTTTAAAATTTAGGTGGTTCTCGACATACGAAAGTTTGTTTAAGGAGCCGTTCGAAGTTACGACATGGGAAAAAGGGAACCGGGACCTTTTTTTCACACTTCACGACCGTCGGATCCAGGGGCTGATGGATCTGCTTTGGGAATACAGGCAGTCCCAGACTTATGACCGTTTGTTTAGTGACCATTCGAAGTTACGAAGGCCCTGGAAAAAAGTGACTTGGGATTGTTTTTCCACACTTAATGACCATGGGATCCAGGAGGAGCTGATGGATCTGCCTCGGGAATACAGGCCATTCTCGACTTATGACAGTTCATTTAGTGATTGTTCAAAGTTATGATGGCACTGGGATTTGGGACAGGTCCTCGCATTTGCAATGGTGAAGGAATCCACGGGGCCACACAATCAAAATTTGGATTCTTGGCCACTGGCATCTGTTTACAACAGGTGGAGCCTCCCACAATCCCCGTTCGTGACCTTCCCAATAAGCTTTTGATATGGAAAATCAATTGGGGGGGGGGCACAGGATTCACTGAATGACCGCCTGATTCACTTAACAACTGCAATGGTTCATTTAGGAGCTGTGGTCCAATGGTTGTCAAATTCGGTCACTCAGTGGACTGTCGTAAATTGAGGACTGCCCGTGAAGAGATTTCAGGGGCACCACAAACTTTGGGAAGGCTACCTATGTTCGTAGTCCTCAGTGAGGCGCTTCTGTTGAGCCTCCTTCTCAGCCAAATCCAATTTGAACTGAGCCAGCTGTTTCGCCAACTCTTTCTCATGGTGGTTGCTTAGCTCCAGCAACTGCTTCCTGCCAAAAAAAAAAGGAAATAAAATTGAAAATAAAGGACTTTTCCACCAAGAAAATAAACATTGCTTTGCAAATTCCAGAAAGTAGCCAGCAGTAAGCCTTGAGAGAATCAATCATCATCTTCTTTTAACAACCCCATAATCCCTTGCAGAATAGAGTCTGGGCAACTGAATGGAGCTAGCAGAGTGTTTACTGGCCGGATGCCCTTCCTGTCACCAATGCCGAGTTTTGTTCAGCAGATATACTCTCATTGTGCCCAGAGAGAGAAATATCTGCCCCTACCTAGGATCGAACTCACAGCTTCCTGATTGCGAGGAGAGAGCTCCACCTCTAGGCCACTATACCACTCCCACGAGAGAATTAATCTTTCTAAAAGAAGAAGAAAAATGTTTATCCTTATATGTAAAAATAAGGATTGTTTTTTCCCTCACTCAAAAAGAGATTTTAAATTCTGCCTTTCAGCCCATCTTGGATTACACGGTGGTATTTTATGAATCTTATTGTCCAGAATAAAGATTTGTAAAAAATAGAATAAAAGAGCTTTAGCAGGCACTAAGGAACGAAGGTGCCTTGTTAATTCTCAAATTACTTTTTGTATCTTCTTAAAGCTATAAACCACAGAGCGTGGAGTTCTTATTTTTACTGATGTTTCCACATCTCTCCAAATCCTTTCCGGGTAGATTAGAGAATATATACTTTAAATAAAGTTTTGAATAGCCCTCAACTCTAATCTAAAGCCGTTTAGATTAACAAATCAAACCCACAGCAACAGACAGATGAATCCATGCAACAAGGCAGCATTAAGCCCATTATTCTGAATTTCTATATTTTGAGCAACGTTCTGAGGATTTTTCTCCTTGAGTTGTTAGATAAGGAATTTGTCAATTGTAGACCTCTAAAACAGGGGAGATTTAAGACTGCCGGAGTGATAAGAGGATATACAGAGGAAAGAATAAATCATCAATTAATTTTGATGAAGGAGAATAAGACACCTCAAGTCTTTGGAAATAAAAGGAAATTTTTGTTCTGAAGTGAGAGACTGGCCAAACATTTGAATTTTGGAAAAAGCCTTCTCTTTAAAATTCCTCAACTGGACTTTCAGAAAAGGTCACAATTGGAGGAAAAATAGCAAGTGTTGCTTTTTTAATGTCACACTCTATACAACGCTAGTCCTCACTGGGGAATATTTCTATGCCACAACTAAAGTGCCAGTCTGCCACTTTGCTGTTGTACAAGTCAAAAAAGGGGGGTTAAGTTAGAAGGGAACTGTATTCATAGAATTATAGGGCTGGAAGGGACCTTGGAGGTCTTTTAGTCCAACTCCCAAGGCCCCAAAGCAGTCATCCCAGACAAAAAGATATACCGTATTTATCGGCGTATAACACGCACTTTTTTCCCCCTGAAAATAGGGGGCAAATGATGTATGCGTGTTATACGCCGATATAATGTTAAGAAGCCTTCGGTGAATGCTGCTGGGATCGGGGATCAAGGACACAAATGAAAGAAGGGGAGGGAGGAAGCAACCGAAGCCTGTCCTGCTCTCTGGGTCAGCTCTGTCAGTCGCTCTCTCGCTCCTCCACCAGCCCAGGAAGAAACTGCTTCAAAGAAGCGGGGGGGGGG